ACTCTGTGTAAAGAACCTACCTCTGCCATCTCCCCTATACCTTCCTCTAACCACCTTAAAATGACGCCCTCTCGTAATAGTCATTTCCGCACTGGGAAAAAGTCTCTGGCTATCCACTATCTATGCCTCTCATCATCTTGTACACCTCTATCAAGTCACCTCTCATCCTTCTTCGCTCCAATGAAAAAAGCCCGAGCTCCCTCAACCTTTCCTCATAACACCCGCCCTCCGGGCCAGGCAGCATCCTGGTAAATCTCCTCTGCACCCTCTCCAAATCTTCCACATCCTTCCTATAATGAGGCGACCAGAACTGAACACAACATTCCAAGTGTGGTCTAACCAGGGTTTTATAGAGCTGCAGCAAAACCTTGCAGCTCTTAAACTCAATTCCCGTACCAATGAAAGCCACCACACCATATGCTTTTTTTACAACTCTATCAACTTGGGTAGCAACTTCGAGGGATCTATGGATGTGGACCCCAAGATCCCTCTGTTCCTCCATACTGCCTAAAATCCTACCATTAACCCTATATTCTGCATTCAAATTCGACTTTCCAAAATGAAACACTTCACACATTTCTGGGTTGAATCCCACCTGCCATCTCTTTGCCCAGCTCTGCATCCTGTCAATGTCCCACTGCAATCTACAACAGCCCTCCACGCTGTCCACAACTCCACCAACCTTGTGTCATCGGCAAACTTACTTACCCACCCTTAAACATCCAAATCATTTATAAAGATCACAAAGAGCAGAGGTCCCAGAACAGATCCCTGTGGAACACCACTGGTCACTGAGCTCCAGGCTGAACACTTTCCATCTACTACCACCCTCTGTCTTCTATGGGACAGCCAATTTTGTATCCAGACAGCCAAATTTCCATGAATCCCATGTCTCTTTACTTTCTGGATGAGCCTATCATGGGGAACCTTATCAAATGCCTTGCTAAAATCCATTTACACCACATCCACTGCTCTGCCTTCATCAATGGGTTTTGTCACATCCTCAAAGAATTCAATAAGGCTTGTGAGGCAAATAATTGTAAATACTATCTCTCAGAATCCTCTCCAATAATTTGCCTACCACAGAAGAGTGACCGGTCTGTAATTCCCAGGATTATCCCGATTCCCTTTCTTGATCAAGGGAATGACATTTGCCACCCTCCAATCATCTGGTACTCCTCCAGTGGACAGTGAGGATGCAAAGATCACCACCAAAGGGGCAGCAATCTCTTCCCTCGCTTCCCGTAGTAACCTTGGGTATATCCTGCCTGGCCCTGGGGACTTACCTATTCTCATGTTTTTCAAAATTTCTAGCACACCCTTCTTCCTAACATCAACCTGTTCGAGCATATCTGCCTGTTTCATGCTGTCCTCACAAACTTCAAGGTCCCTCTCGCTGGTGAATACTGAAGAAAAGTATTCATTGAGGACCTCCCTTACCTCCTCTGACTCCGCACACAAGTTCCCTCTACTATCCCGGATTGGCCCTACCCTCACGCTGGCCATCCTTTTGTTCCTCACATAAGCGTAGAATGCCTTGGGGTTTTCCTTGATGCTACCCGCCAAGGATTTTTCATGCCCCTTTCTAGTTCTCCTAAGTCCATTCTTCAGTTTCCTCCTAGCTATCTTGTAGCCCTCGAGAGCCCTGTCCGATCCTTGCTTCCTCAACTTTAAGTAAGCTTTCTTCTTCCTCTTGACGAGATGTTCCACAGGTCTTGTCATCCAAGGTTCCTTTACCTTACCATCCCTTCCTTGCCTCAGGGGGACAAACCTATCCAGTACTTGTAGCAACTGCTCCCTAAACAACCTCCACATTTCTGAGAACATCTGATCCCAATTTGATCCTCAAAACATCTCTTTCCAAGACTACAACATCTTCTCTAATCTATGCTGCCACCCCAGCTCCCTTTTATTTTTATCATTTGATGTATAAACCCTGACCATTTTCAAAACCAAACTTCCAATGCTACCACTACATCATATCCTGACAACCATTAGTGCTGGGAGCTCACCAACCTTAGTCAGTGTCTATATGCATGCATTCTAATTTTTGTTTGTGTTGTTTATAGCACTTCTTAGTCTATCCCTATGTGATAAGGTACTACTTACTTCTCAAATATTATCCAAAACACATCATAGCATTCATCTTTTCGATTACTAAAAGCCACTGTCCAACCCCACGCCAATTAAGCTTAAACCTCCCAAACCACACCAGTGAACCTTGCAGCTTGGATACCAATGCCATCCCTGCTGAGTTGAAACTAGTCTTATGAATGGGTACCTTCTGCCATTGACTGGTTCTAATGCCTCAAGAACTTTAAGTCCTCCCTCTCTCGTGTACTATGCCTTAAGCCTTACACTGATTCTCCCAATATACCCATTTAAACTCTTACTGGCACTGGGAGTTATCCAGAAATTACCATCTTCAAAAATCCTGCAATTTTAAACTTCCTCTCTAGATCTTGAAACATCTGACTGCAGGACCGCAAACTTGTTTTCTCTACATTATCGGTACGGACTTCGAAAAAAAAATTTTTCACCCTCTCCCTGATGTATTACCTCCTTGGTGCCAGGGCAGAGTACATCACTCATGACTCATGATGATTACAGGATTGTTCCCCTAATTATGGAATCTCCTATACCACTACAATTCTACCCTCTTGCCTGATTTTGCCAAATATTGACACTCGTTTGAAAGTAGAATATACCCCAAAAACTCTTGCATGTCTGCAAAGGTTCCAAATGGCCCCTGATCAGCTATCCCAAATTATCAATGCCAGTGGGTGTCCACCTCGTCAAACGAATATCCTAAAACTCTCGTGTTGCCTGATACTCCACTGTGGCTCCAGCTACACATCAAACTGGGAAATCCAGAGTTTGAGTTCAAACAGCTGGAGATACTTCTACACATGGTTCTCCAAGCACAGTAAAAGGCCCTCTTGTAGCACAGTATAGTATCCCTTTCACCAGATCCTGAATCCTCGGTTCAGGTCCCAGCTGCTCCAGAGATGTGTAATAACATCTCTGAATAGGTTAATTATAAAAATAGGTTAATAAAAAGTTTTTCAAGCACATGAAATGTCCTTTAATTCCCACTGGGCACAGGAATTGAAAGCAACACCTGCTGCTGGATTTAAAAGAATGGATATTCCCTCTTAAAATCCAGTTAGAAACTTGTTTAAATTATCAATTTTAATTAATGCCTCCCACTCTTCACTGTGATAATATTCATTTTGAACTCACTTACGTTGTACTTAAATGGACTTTTAAATTTCCTGGTTTCCAATTTAAACTAATCCTCTAGGTTATAGACAAATAAAAAAAAAGAGAAGTATGCACTAATCAATAACTTGCTCTATATTCTGTGGTGTCATACTTTGATTTCTTATCTTGAACATGGTCAGTTTGCTCTTCACATCCCACTAATCACATTCTTGCAGTTGCTTTGTGGCCTGCTTTGCTGCCACTCTTTATATCCACTCAGTTCTACTGATGTCCGGACTGCTCTAGCAACATCTTCATACTTTTCTACCAGTCTTGCTGTGAGCTTCAGCTGCTCTTTATATTCACTTCCAGTCTTACTCTGCTGTCTCATGCTGCTGCTTGTGGGATTCGAACCCACAACCGTCATTACTCAGATATCTAAAACAAAAATTAAATCTGTTCAGACATGTTGTTATAACATTAGCTGGGGCAGGTGGGACTTGAAACCAAAGTTTCCAGCCTGGAGATAGGGACAATACCATTTCCACAAGACCCTGCATTCATTACTCAGTTGAGGTGTTATGACACACCTCTGGAGCAGGTGGTACTTGAACCTGGGTCTTCTGGCTAAAGGGTAGCGACACTATCATTGCCTTACTACTGTTACTCCTCAGTCAAATAAGCCACAGTTGATCATTTGAAAGTAATTGCAGGCCCTGACAAATGAACCAACCGTCAGTCATCTGTCTTAAGCATCTTTGCAAGATGTACCAGGATGTCATGTGTCCGCAGCAGAATCCTGGAAAGACCTGGAGGCAAAGAAGTTGAGCATAGAGGTGGATTTTCACAGACAGATAACAAATAGCCTGCAGATGATAGGTCTTATTCTAGGAGATTTCTTATGTCTAAACCTCACAGTAGAGTGAGCCACTGGTGTTTAGACATGTCAAAAAAACTGATTTGATGTTAGTGGGCAACTTAATGGGTTGTGCCTCCTAAAAGCTTTCCCTTTCTGCTCATCTCTCATGGAACTACAGGTTCATGAACAATAAATTGATACAGGGGTGTTGCTTGCCATCTTTGGTCTTCAGAGGTCCAATCTAATGCAGCATAAAGCAGCTCATACTCTATTGTGATACAGAAAACCTCAAACTGCTGAATATAATCGTGCAGCAAACGAACCACAAATAATGCTTTTCACACGAGCAAGCAAGAGACAAGGTGTGTGCAGATTATTAAATCACCATTTTTAGTCAAGAGCATTTCAGTCCCCTCATTTGCTGTTTCATATTCTCCAATGGTTTCTCAGGCTTCCTGAAAATTGCCAGTGAAATCTACATACTTAATATGAAGTGAAAACTGTCAAAAATCACTGACTGAGCAGTTCACAAATGAAAATTGAGAATGGCTTGTATCTGCTTCCAAATAGGATTTCTCTTGAAAATATGATGATTGATATCCAGTAAAATCACGGTCAGGAGGTGGTAATTTACTTTACCGTTGATTCACTAACATTGCTTTCCAGAGGGCATTCACAAAGTGAATGCCATCATTTACTATTCTAGCTCCAGCTCATTCTCCATGAAATAGAATATTTGTGGTGTCAAAAAAAAAGAGAAAATGCAGGGCATGAAAGACATACAAAAATGGGGGAGAAATAAAGATTTTGCCTTCTATATTTTCTGCCCTTTTTCTGTTTGAAAGCATGACTGAATACAAATGTGTCTTCAACATATTAGGAATGTACAAACTAGATGTATGTATTTTATTTTTGCAGTTAAAAAAGACACATACACCACAGTGTTACAAAAACTTGTATTAATCATCTCCCTTCACTTTCAATATAATGCTGATATGAAATAACCATCATTTTAGTTAAGTGACAGGAATGGGAGTAATAAATACATTGTAGCAAGTTTGTTGTTTAAGTCACAAGAGTAGTTCATTGGTAACTTTAAACAAGAACATTTCAAAACTATACACTTGCAAAGAACAGCAAGTAAAACATATTAGTGTTTGTCATAAAGCTTTAACATGTAACAAACGTGCTTTTTCCATAAGGTGACAAACTGTAAAAATATGCATTTATGTGCAGCAATAACTATGCAAGAAACATACTTCTTGTACACTACCTTCTTTCCAGAGGGCAACAGGAACATAAACATGCATGCATTTACAATGAGGGATTGCCTCTACTTGACATGCAACAAAGGAAAGAAAGCAATACGGATCCATGTATTTTGAAGAGTGGACAGATTCTATATTGAACTTCAAAACTGTTCATAAATATATAGGGTATAGTATAGTATAATTAAAAAAAGGGAGGAAGTATCCAGGTCATTACTGTTAGCGTTGCTGTTGCTTCCTATTCCTCCCAGAGGAATAAACATTCACTATTTTCTGAATCGAGATAAAGAAATACAAAAAATAAAAGCCACCATAGGAAATTTTGATGACTTATACAAAACAATTTAACTCTTTTATTTAGTGTTTTATATATAGTGCACATACATCTATTGCAAGACCTGCCTTTGTAAATATATAGAACTTTTTAAAATATCTTGACTATTTTGTGTCTTGCGTTCCAGCCATTATCTCTTTAAAGGCATCACAGTAACCTGGCAGATATTACAGAAAACCTCAATTTCTGACACAACTAACTACAGTAGGATACATGTTTTGAGAGGCCTTTTTTCAGTTTTTCCATGTCAAGAAGTTAAGCACTTCAAACATATTCAAAACAATTACGAGGCAAGGCTTTGTTCTGGGCTTGCAGAGATATCCTGTGTGCACGACATTTAACAAAACAAAGACAAAGACTATAAATATCAAGAATATGTCTTATCACCTTTGTTTTTTGAATTGGTGGTGCTACTTTGCTCTGTATAAAACAGTTAACACTTGGGATAGGTGTAAGATACAAAAGGAAAGGCACTGCCGCTTTATTTCTAGATATTTGACTTCACAGCCTTCTATGCATGCAATCATCATTTCATAAATAATTCATTTTACATAGGATAGTATTAATCAAGCTCTACACCTGCAGTCAATACAGGACTCAACAGAAGAACAGAGAATGGCAATGTTCTCAAGACAGAAGCCACATATTAAAATTAATTCACCAGACAGCACTTCTTAGCAAAACAAACGTTTGTTGCTATGTAAATATTTAACCTATATCTTGTCAATAGTAATCAGCAATATTAAAAAAATTAACTAAATGGATGTTAATATTTTGAAACATACTCATGGTTACCAGCCATAGCAAGTTAATACATAACATATCTAAAATAATACATCTAATTAATAGATAACCTTTGCATCTATAAATCAGTGGAGGAATAAATATCAATTCTGATTTGTAAATACCTTTTAGGACTCTTGTTAAACAGGATGTGATGATGTGAATGCAGTTACATTACCTTTTCTGAAGCTGTATTCACGGTATAAACATTATGTATATAGTTTAATACTTTATTCACCAAATTCATTTATAATACTGCATTTCCAACTCTGTTTCGGACAATACTATATCCATGTATACTCAATTTCATTCCATTATCTTTCTGTTGTTTCTCAGCTCTTGCCTTTTCTTTTCCTTACAGGATATACTAATCGTTACGTAGTCTGTCTGTCTCTCACTCTGCTGCTGAAGCTCTAGGTTGCATATATTTGAATTTTTTTGTTTTGGGCATGTAATTGGTGGAAGGGACAGGAAAAACAAACATTCAGGATCTAACAACTTGTACACTGTATCAATTTGGCTTCAACTGTTGATTTAGAGCTTTTTGGATTGGAATAAAATATAAAGCAAAACCAGAGCAAGCAGCATACTCACCGACAGCTAAACAAACTGCAAGGCCGATTAACTTTAACTCTCACCATACTACATCAGTCTCCTGCATTCAACAACATTCCAAAACCACCCTTCATTTCATCATTTTTAACATCTGTACCTACGTAGGACTAGCACTCATATTTACAATTTCCTTCAAAATGACCAAATATCCCGAACCATAGCTTTCTGCTGCTAACTAAAAGAAGCAAACCTGCTGCTATCGCAGAAGGAAAAACTAAAATGCTTTAACAATACAAATCATAATGGCATACCTGAAAATGTTTATGTACCCTTTATGGTTATGTAAACAATATGCAAATTTATTTTAGTTACATTTAAATCACTCATTTCAAATTCCCCTTCATGGCATACTTCAATGCTGAAAAGAATTCAATGACTCGAATCAGATGCAATTAATATGAATATGTAGTTTTTTTTTCTCTTTTGGTCACATTTATAGTATAATTTTATAGAAATAAAATAGCTTCTCAAAATACAGAAAATGTAACCAACGACTGTTGCATTGTTTCAACTTCAACTCTTCCCTCCTCACTTTAAAAAAAATGGTATTTTACCATTCAGTTGCCATACCAACACCAACTACGCTGTTTACATAAGTTATGGCCCTTCAGTTTTAGGCATCCAGAGGGTCTCGCTGCAAAATCCTGTTCATGGACAGAACTACTTTTGATCAACCTGACTACACTTCAAATTTTGATGATACAATAACAATCCAGACTCTTGCACAAAAATACGTTCATTACACCTTGCAGAAATATAACACAAGACATCATTCGACCCTGTCCACTGCATGGGACTGGAACTTGTGAACTGCGGCCTGAACCTGCAGCTACTTTTGTGGTTCAGAGCCAGCACCAATGATGTAGTTCAATCTTCTAGATAGTAGAGGTTCTGTCAACGCCATCTGAAAATTAAAAGCAAAATCAGTACTCTGAAACTTTATTGCTATTGAATATTATACAAGCATACTTCAATATACAATCTAATATTTTTAAAGGTCACGCATTACAATTTACATTTGTATGAAAAAACATGCAGGGTTTGTAATTAGTGCAAACAAAATATGGCTTCAAAAAAAAGAAAAATACAACTTATTTATGGCAACAGAGCTTTTGCATCTTAGTAAATGCAGGAATGTCTTGAGCAAAGAGCTGGATTGTTTGGACTGGAGGGAATCAAAGTCATTTATTAAAATAACTTTTTCTTAAATGAATATAACCCGTTGTGTATAAGAAGTTGTGAGGTAGATCATGCCTCACAAACCTTATTGAATTCTTTGAAGAGGTGACCAAACATGTGGATGAAGGTAGAGCAGTAGATGCGGTATACATGGATTTAAGTAAAGCGTTTGATAAGGTTCCCCATGGTAGGCTCATGCAGAAGGTGAGGAGGCATGGGATAGGAGGAAATGTGGCAGATTGGATTCAGAATTGGCTGACCCTTAGAAGACAAAGGGTGGAGGTGGACGGAAAATATTCAGCATGGTGCACCACAAGGATCAGTTCTGGGTCTTCTTCTATTTGTAATTTTTGTAAATGATTTAGATATAGGAGTGGAAGGGTGAATTAGTAAGTTCATGGATGATACAAAGGTGGGTCGAGTTATAGATAGTGAGGAGTGCTGTTCTAGGTTACAAAGGGACATTGATAGGATGCAGAGCTGGGCTGAGAAGTGGCAGATGGAGTTTAACCCTGAGAAGTGTGAGGTGATTCATTTTGAAGGACAAACTTGAAAGCAGGATACAGGGTTAACGGAAAGATTCTTGGCAGTGTGGAGGAGCAGAGGGACCTTGGGGTTTATGTCCACAGTTCCCTGAAAGCTGCCATCCAGGTGGATAGAGTTGTTAAGATGGCGTATGGTGTGTTAGCTTTCATTAATAGAGGGATTGAGTTCAAGAGCCGTGAAGTCATGCTCCAGCTATACAAAAGCCTGTTGTTTCGGCCACATCTGGAGTATTGTGTCCAGTTCTGGTCGCCTCATTACGGGAAAGATGTGGAAGCGTTGGAAAAGGTGCAGAGGAGATTTACCAGGATGTTGCCTGGAATGGAGGGAAGGTCTTACAAGGAAAGGTTGAGAGCACTAGGGCTTTTCTCTATAGAACGACGAAGGATGAGAGGTGACTTGATAGAGGTGTACAAAATGATCAGAGGTACAGATAGAGTGGACAGCCAGAGACTTTTTCTTTGGGTGGAGGTAGCTATTACGAGGGGGCATAGTTTTAAAGTGAGTGGAGGTAGATATAGGGGAGACGTCAGAGGTTGGTTCTTTAGTCAGAGTGGTAGGGGCATGGAATGCATTGCCGGAGAGGGTAGTGGAGTTGGCCTGATTAGGGGCATTTAAGCAGCTATTAGATAGGCATATGGATGATAGTATAAGGTAGGGGTGGAGGTTAGATAGACCTTAGGTTTAGGGTAAAAGTTCGGCACAACATCATGGGCCGAAGGGCCTGTACTGTTCTATGTTCTAAAACGGAAGCTTTGTGATGGATTTTATTACATCAGCAACATACAACAAAGTATAAACCTAGTGATATCTTTTTCAGCACTTGGTGTTATCATTCAACAAGCACGGAAAAATAGTGGGTTACCACTGTATTTGTCACAATAATTGAGAAGAATTTTGTTTAAAATACAACATTGAAGTAAATAATTGCATAGAGTATTGAGCTAAATTAAACCACTTGAAATCAAATTAAAGATCAATTCTATACAACTTGCATCTAAAACATATTGGAAAATTATAGGTTTTAATTGTGATAATTCAGGTTTCAAGCAATTAAACAGACTAGAGCTTTAAGCTCAAAAAGATTACATCTTTGATATAAAGATTTTAAAATATTCAAATTTTATTTGTGAAGAAATCTTAATTTCTGCCTATGGAATTAATATAAAATGTACTATTCAGTTAGATGGCAGGCTGGAGAAAATTTACAGCATTGATCCAAAACTAGCTGACTACAAATAAAATATTACCACAAGTTAACCCAACGCTGTGTACTTGGCTGGGAAAGTGATATTTAAGGAAATGCTTCAAGGTTTGCTATACTAATAAGCTATTTAAGTGACATGTAAAGCAGATGGCACATGGACACAGGTCGTTCTGTTCCAACTCTGGAGCATGACTCAAGGACAGCAGTCCTACATACCAAACCACACCACATTATTGGCTGAGCTTTCCAAAAATATTATTAATAAATGACTTTAACAGAGATTTCATTGTGGATCTATAGGTTTAATTATAAGTAGGACATTCAGTTTCCACTTCATTAATGAAATCAAACAGAAATGTGCCAAGCTGTGTTGAAATAATCAGGAAACAACTTATCAGAAAACAACTTGGAAATGTACTATTTGACCAGATTGATCCTTTAATTCTGGATCAGCATGAATTTTGATCAGCATACCAAAGACACATGCAAATTGTTTAATTGCTCCAAGAATAAAAAGTTATAGTATTTAAGCACCATTAAAAATACTTTTCACCCACATGTTATTTATCTTACAGTTTTCAGGACCATGCTGTAAAACATATACACAAAAGTCATTTTGAAGCTCACAAAAATAGCTTGTGAAGTGGATAGAAAACATGGTGCGCAACAAAGAATTAGATTATGTCCTACAGCAAGTAAAGCTGTCTTTTCAACCTACATAGGTAAAATTTTTAGGAATATGTGAAGTTAAAATAAAATTACTGCATGAAATCTGTACTGTCACATATCAATTTATAAAATTTTCACACATCACCAAATATATACCAAGTAAATTTGTCAAAGGCAAATTCTATTTGACAAAATTTACCAATATTTAAATAATTGAACAAAGTTCAAATAAAAACTTATCATCTTCATTAATATCCTTTAGGGAAAGAAATCTGCCATCGTTACCTGATCTGGCCTGCTCCTGAATTTAGGCCCACAGCAACGTGGTTGACTCTCAACTGCCTGTCTGGGGAGTTGAGGATGGGCAATAAATGCTGGTTTAACCACCAATGCCACATTCTATGAATAAATTTTCTGAAAAAAAACTTACCACCCAGGGCATGTTCAGTCATGCTGAGGCACAATGATTCCAGTCTGTTGTTTATATCAGGTTCTGTTACTGGCACTTGGAACTCTAAAAGGCAAAATGCCCAACCATGAGGATTCAGAGATATACAGCAAACAAGATTACCACCTTGAAACTGAAACATCTAACAAAATATCCACAATTTTCAAACAATTAAGGTATATTTGGTTTCTGAAATTCGTACAATCCTTATAGCCATTCAATCCATCGAGACCACACCAACCTTCCGAAGAGCAAAACACCCAGATCCACTCCCAAGCCTATCGCCGTAACCCTGCATTATCCATGGCTAATCCACCAAGCCTGCACATCTTTTGGAGAAGTCAAATTTGCCACTACTAGTATGGCCAAGAAGTATACTTACTAAAATTCAATATGGTTCAACTGAAAGGGCAATAGTTTAAGGAATGGAAAACGGTAATGATATATTTGGAACCCATTTCCAGGTATGAACAGGATTCATGATATTGTTATTTAGAAATTGTTCTGTCCACTTTAGAACTCCAATGTATAGCTTTAAGTTTGATTTGTGCTTCTATATTGTCTATGTTGTTTGTTTTAAGATGGTATCATTTTACTATCACTTCTTAGTCCTGTGGTACGGGCTGTCAGGAAATATGTTTACACATTCATTTAAAATGGTGCTTTTAAACCACCTGAGATAAATAGTTCAGAGCTTTGGAATTAGGAGTTGAAGAAAGGAATAAAAGAGGGCGGTTGTTAAATAAGAGGAGCAAGAGAGTCGACGTTTCAGGCCCAGACCCTTCATCAGGACTAGGCCTGAAACATTGACTCTCCTGCTCCATTCTTCCAGCTCCACACTGTATCGACTCTGACTCCACCATCGGCAGTTCTTACTATCTCCCAGTTGTTAAATAACCTGTCCTCTGACACAAAGACAAAGACACAGATGGTGACAGAAACAAAAATAAAATATTGCGGATGCTAAAGGTTCATATCAGACTTGAAATGTTAACTGTTTCTTTCTCCATAGACGCTGTCAGACTTGCTGCATTCCTCCAGCATTTTCAATGTTAGTGACAGAAACAAGTTCTTTTAGAGAAAAGAAACTATCCAGAAAATTCATGAGTGGGTGTGCAGAATTCTAAGCAGGTCAGTGAGAAACATCAGCGGTGCAGTATGGCAGTCTCCAAAACAGCCAGGGCAGAAAAGGAAAGTAGCCTTGAATGGCTCAATGTCTGTAGAAAAGAAAGGTCCAGAACCAGGAAGCGGCAGAAGTGATTTTTTTTTTTTTTTTTCTTTATTCTATTACGTTTCTGGTATTTATTGCCACCCTAATTCTTTAAAAATAAATAGTTTGCTGGGGTTATTTTACAGTTGAGTGAAACACATAGCTGTGGGATTGGAGTCACTTGTAGGCCAGACTGGGTCAGGATAATACTCTAACGGGCAATAAACGAGTTTTTGTGAATGGTTAATGGTTAATGACAATGGTTAACCATTACTGAGACTAGCGTGTAATTTCAGGTTTTATTAAGCAAATTGAAATTCCCCCAGTTGTGGTTGAAATTCAACCCTTGTCCCCAGCCTGGGCCTCTGGATTACTAGCCCAGACCCATTTAAGAAAGAATCAGCTATGTTACCTATTTAAGAGTTTCAGGAAAGGCAAATTGAATAAATTACATCAGGTAAATGTAGAAGTTTTCCAAAAAGAAACCAATTACAGCCTTGCCCAAGGAATAAAAAAAACCTTAAGTGGAAACAGGATGGCCCTTCACTGAGGTTTGAGTATCTGTAAGGTTGTTATTGAGGATAAAAGGTTGAATATTTCCTTCTGATGCTTTGTATTATGTTCTATGAATATATTCTGTGAATGTTACTTCTGCCAATTTGAATTTACAATCTACATGAAGACTGAAGTCACCCATGATTAATATATTGCCATTTTTACATGGGGTCCACACCGATCCTCCAAAGAGCAGTCCACCAACACCTCTACCCTATCCCCTGTAACCCTGCATTTACCATAGCTAATCCATCTAGCCTGCACATCCCTAGACACCGTGGGTAATTTAGCATGGTCAATCCACCTAACCTGTGCATTCTTTGGGCTGTGGAAGGAAACCCATGCAGGCATGGGGAGAACATTGAGACTACAGACAGTCGCCAGAGGGTGAAATCAAATCCAGGTGCCTGGTGCCGAGAGGCAGTAGTGCCAAACACTGAGCCACCATGCCACCCTAGGAAATGACTAAGGAGTTGAATACATATAGATACCTTGCACCTTAAATGGTACAAGATAACAGTGGCATTCGAAAAACCCGAGATGGTTTCACTAAAACAATATGTAATTGATCTAACCAGGGATCAGGCAGTTTTGGATATGGTAACACATAATGAGGCAGATTTAATAAATGATCTGAGAGTAGGAAACAAACAGTCACCAAAACACAGCAGAATTTAGAAATCAATCAATTTTGAGAGTAAGAAACATGGACTGGAAACAACAATGCTAAAGTAAGAAATGAGAGCAGAGTTAGCTGGAGTAGATTGGGAATGGAGTTTAGATGAAAATGTGGTTGATGAACTTCAGTGGTTCAGCAGTTTAAGAAAACAGTTCACAACTCAAAGATATATCCCAGTGAGGAAGATTTATTCTAAAAATTGAATAAACTAACCATGGTTAACCATAAAGTTAAGGGTAGTATCAAGTTAGAGGAAAAAACATACAATGCAGAAAAGATTAATAAGATAGAGGATTGGCAAAGTTTAAAAATCAACAAAAGGAACCAAAAAACAAGAAAACATACGAGAGTAAACTAGTAGGTAATACAAGAATGAATATTAGGAGAATTTCTTTAAATACATCTTTAAAAAGGCCAAATGAATAGAGAATGAGGCTGAACAAATAATAATGGGGAACCAGAAAATGACCGAGGAGTTGAATAAATACAAAATACCTTGCATCTTAAATGCAGAATGATAGCATTCCAAAAGTATCTATTAATCAAAGGGCAGAATTTGGGGAAGGGATGGTGGTGGGGCGAGGTGAGGGGGAATACGAATAAAATATAATAACTATCACCAGAAAAAAAATTACCAAACTAGTTTGGAGGTAAGACCAATTTAAATCCCCTGGACTTGATGGGATGCATCCTAAGATATTAAAAGGAAGTAGCTACAGAAAAATGTCTCAGAACTAGAAAATTGCCAATTTAAGATCCTTATTCAAAAAGCAGAGTGTGACAAAAACAGTTAACTATAAGCCATTCAGCATAACAGTCATCGGGAAGATATTGCATTATAAATATTGTAAATAAAGGATGCTACAGCAGAGAACTTCAGAAGTAACTAATATAATTAAACAAAGTCAGCTTGATTTCATGAAGGGGAAAACATGCCTGACAAATTTATTTGAATTCTTTGAGAAACTGTCAAGCAGGATAGATAAATGGGAACTAGTAGATGTAATGTATGTGGATTTCCAAAATGCACTCGATAAGGTAGCACACAAAAGAATACTTAAGATAACAGCCCATTATTTTGGGGGGTAGTACATTTAGCATTGATAGAGAATTGGCTAACAGAAGACAGAAACTTGAAACAAAAGGGGCATTTTCAGAACGGCAAACTAAAACTAATGGGAGTGCCATAGGGATCAGGGGTGGCACAACAATTATTTACAATGTATATGAGGAAGTGAATGTACATTGCCAAGTTTGCAGATGGCAAAAATAGGTGAGAGAATAAAGGAGTAAGGACAGCACAAAGAGACTACAGATGGATATTGGAAGATTTAGTGGCAACTTAGCATATAAAACATAATGTGGGAAAATAGGAGGTTATGCACTTTGGCAGGAAGAAGAGAGGAGCTGATTATTTAAATAGAGGAAAACTGCAGGAAATAGCAGCACAGTGATTTGGAGAATCTCATGCACGAATCATGAAAAGCCAGCATACAAGCCCAGTAGGTAATAGGGAAGGCTGCTCCCTGGGGCCGATCTGCTCTCCTTTGTTTAATTTCTGTTACTACCTTTTTTTTTTTAAAACTTTGCTTTATTTTCCTTCTTTTCATCTTTTATCTTTTCTGTGGCGGGTTCGTTGGCAGCACCAGCGTGCCAGTGAGAGCGGGCTGCATGCAGAGTGGTAGATGTGGCTTCTCCTGGAGGCCAGCAACAGCTGCAGTGAGGATGTTCTTCCAGTGACAGGAGGCCTGCGGCAGACGCATGAGTTTTCCTGCTTTTGGGATCTGTGGCAGCAGCAGCAAAGTCATTGTCCCAGCATTTGGGGCTGACGGCAGCGGAATCTTCAAGATGGCAGTGCTGGCAAGGCAACATGTGCAACTGAAGCAGTACACATGGCTTGGTGGCAAACTAGTCTGGCAGCGGAGTGAGTGTGGGTTCAGCGGCATCAGCGAAGTGGGCCCAGTGGCGAAGAGTCACCTAAAGGGAGGCAACTCTGTTGGTTGATCAAGCACAGGCGGCAGTGAAGCGGCAGAGGTCTTTCTCGAGGCTAGGTGCCAGCATGGACTGGCTTGGAAAGACTGATATTCTAAACTTTATTTTCTAATTTATTGCTATGACCTATAATGCTGGACTATTTATTTCTTTACCAATTTTTTTTGTTTCCTAAGAATTTGATCTTATGTATCTGTACCTAGGTAACTTTGTACCTAAGATAGCAATTTCACTGTAGTCCTGAGGGAGTGTGACAATTAAGCTAATTTAATTCAATATTTCAAAAGGGATTGAAAATATGGATTTCTAACTATAAACTATATTTACGAAATAAAGAAAGTATTAGTTAGACCATACCTAGAATACTGTGAAAAGTTTTAGTTCCCTTATCGAAGGAAAGCTATACTGGCATAGGAGGCAATCCAAGGAACATTCACTAGGTCGATTCCGGGTGTGGAGGGATTTTCTTATGAGGAACGTTGAATGTATTGGACCTGTATTCATTACAGCTTAGAAGAATGAGAGGCAAAAACAAAATATAACATATATGGTCTTAGGGAGCTAGACAGTGTAGATGTGCAGAGGTGGTTTCCATTTGTGGGAGAGTCTAGGACCAGGTGACAATGTCAAACTAAGGGTCACCCACTTAAGTCAGAGATGAGGAGAAATTTCTTTGAAAGGTTGTAAAACTGTGGAATTATTTGCCATAAGCACTGTAGAGGCTGGGCCGTTAAGTATACTCAAGGCTGGGATAGACAGTCTTTTAAATCAGTAAGGGAATCAAGGGGTATGAGGAAAAGACAGGAAAGTGGAGTCAAAGCTTATTAGATCAGATAGGATTTCATTGAATGGCAAAGCAGACTCAATGGCTGAATAGCCTATTTCTGCTTCTACACCTTCTAATTTAAAATAAGTGAGAGAGATCTCAAGGCTTTAACAAGCCATCCACTGAATCCATCAGCACAACGTTCCCAGGCTGTTAAATTATCAGAATATATAACAAATGACAACGTGAATACAGTGAGATAATGTTGAAATAAAACTGAAGTACAAGAGAAACTCACCATATCTGTCAGCATCTGTGCAGAGAGAAACAGAGTTAACATTTTAAGTCCAATGATTCTTCTTCGGAACATGAGATGCAAAGAAGAGTCATTGGACTTGAAAATGCTAACTGTTTCTTTCTCCACAGAAGCTGGTAGCCCTGAGTTTCTCTAGAACCTTACATTTATTCCAGGTCTGCAGAATCTACAGTATTTTTCTTTTATTTTATTGAAATAATTTTGAAACTGTTTGGTCTTGATGAGGGCATACTGCATTAAGGTTTAGGCTCACTTCTTCAAAAAGGATATTCAGTTACTGAGAGGGCAAGTTGAGGACTAACTTAGGGGAATATAGGATCAAATTATGTTTTTCTGACACCTAATGAATTTAAGCACAAGGAAATCATGCTTACGTATGAAGACGAACAAACTAAAATAGGAAATGCTGGGGGCAGGCCTTTTCTTTTAAAAACTAGAAAAGGTATTAGCACAGGTGATGGAAGAGGATTGCTCCATTGTTTTCAAGGAAGACCAATACAGCATATTGCCAAATGGGATCCAGAGTCATCACAAATATAATGAGGGAACATTGTGGATTGGTGATATAGACAGACAAAAAGGAGGTCTTCACTTGAAATGGTCAAATTTATCAAAATCCTTTCATTTTAAATAACGCAGTCACCTCTCACAAAGTTTCTTTGTCTTAGTCAAAAGAACCAGTGTTTCCCTGATCTGATGTCATATTGGATCAGAAACTGTTTCCCTCTCCACAGATACTTCCACACTAACGCAGCTTCTCCAGCACTTCATTATTGTTTAATTTCAGATTTCCAGCATCCATAGTATTGCTTTTTTTCTCTAATTTTTCCTCAATCTTACCACACTGAGGGCAGGCATTATTCACTAAGCATATAAGACCATTTCTAGCATTCATACATTTTAAGTCTTATTACGTTAGATAAAATATTTAGTCAACTAATAAGTTACAAAATCATGGCACAAACTTTCAAATTATCAATGTTAATGACAAATTAGTTAATCCTTTACCACTAGCAAATAACTAGATATACATTCTATGCAACAACTGTAACTTTGAAGAGATATTCTCCATTTTGTTTAGTTATTATATAATTCATCCAAGGCATGAAGTGCTTAGCAGGGTTTCTTGCTATTTTCTATTTATTCTACAAATTTTCAGAAAGTCATAAATTGAGCAGAACACTGACAGTAAAAAAAAATCCAAGTTTTCACAGTATATTTGTTAATATAAAAATACAATAAACCTGATCAATACTAATGCATTGAATATCTTCCATGATGATTGTTATATTATTTAAAAATAGAAAGGTTTGTTGTTGTTGCACTAATGCAATAAAATTCCAGAAGTAACATAAAGCCTCTGTAGAAAGCTAAGAAAAGATCCACATAGTCAACTTGTTATTTATAGAGGCAAATCCCTCCACTGAAGTCTGTGATTTAATCAATCCAGTAATCTGACTAGCGTCAGAAAATTTTTGCTCAAGCTACAGTGGACTCTGGTTTGCATATTCTGGACTGTAGCCAACCAGCCACCATACATGCTGGTTATTTAGGGGAAGAAACCTTTTTATAAGTTGAGAGGAATGCAAGGTGACAACTGAGGCCCAACATTTTCCAAGGATTTACAAGTGTTGATGTTCATCTTCATCCACATATAGAAGGGCAACTGTTTAATATTCTCTTCTACTCACCTTGCTGCTGGAACATCAACATAGTTTGTGGTGATGTGTGGACAGGCAATGAGCGGGTACGCTGCACTGAACTATGGGTTCGGCTTGGCATGCTGTTACTGCCTCCAGGGTTAGCAAACCATAGATTCTGTGAAAATACAAGTTACACATTGTAAAACAATTTTAATTTATAGAGCCTCTAATATAGACAAACTGTTGGCATTTGGAATCAACTGTATATTTTACATCATGCTCTACTACTCCAAAGCTTACAATCCTTACAAGTTTCATTCATTGTTTGATGTCTACACACACTGAATGAAACTGTTGTACAACTCTGTTGTGCGCACAAAATTCTGGGCTTCGCCCTTCCTGGAGAAGCAGAGTCTGTTCTTTTTTCCATATTTACATCATCCCATTTCAGTACCTCTACACATCAAAGTGAGGAAAAACAGGAAATGCCTTCAGAGTGTTCTCACTGGGTCTTTTTTAAAAAAGGAACCAGCAAAGTTACTCAAATCAGGAAAATTTGAGAAATGTTTCCAATCTGGATTTGGCAAATGTAACTAAACAGTCTATTTTCCTGCCCTTTAAACTTGAACAGGGTGTGCTGCATTTGCTGGCTAAACAAACATTGCATTTAACTAGTGAATTTCCCAAAGAATACATACTTGCACAAATTTTAAATTATAATACAGAAAAGCAAAAGACTTGAACAAACCTGTCTTCCTTGTTTTAATATGGCAGGATTGCTGGCTGCACTACGCTGTGGGGCACCCATAAGTCCACTGGGGCCCATAAGACCCAATCGAGCCGTGGGCATATTTCGAGGAGGCATCTGAAATTGGCGTTGGGTTCGTCTACCCATTCCTCCACCCACAGATCCAGCTGCTGGTAAGGAGTTGGATTGACTAAAACCCCAGCTATGTGAATAACAGATAGGTAAAACCGACAGTTTTAATGTTTAAAAAAAGTTGAGACAAAGATATGACATGATAAAGAGATAAATTTGTGGCATGTCTCTAACTTTTGTTCATTTTGTGTTGTTTCCCTCTAACTGAAAGTTCAAATTTAAATTTGTGCAGTTGATAGCTAGTTGACAGTAAACAGGTTTTAGGTGACCGCGATACTAAACTACTGTTCTGATAATTTAGCAAACAGCACATAGGTATGCCAGAGAATACATGGAAAAGAGTTGGAAGCACAAGTAAAACAGTACTTCAATGACCAGGAATTTAGTAAGAGGGAAGTAAAGAACATAGAGGAAAGGGGAGAAAAATAATTTACCTGAATATTTCAACAGTAAAGATTGTTATCTAACATCTTTAAAAATGGCAGCACACTGGAGTTTCAAGTAGCAAATGTAGTTAAAGGTACAGTTTTGGATCTGGGTAGTGGTGCCTCAGTGTTCTGTTCTGGGATTATTTCTGTCTACTGAATAGGTCCATGAATTGAAGGAAGAGTAGGAGGTAGTGGTGCCCAACTTTACAGGAATACAAAATAGGAGTCAGAATAGCAATAAAAGCTGAAAAGGGATACTGATTAGCAAGTGGAGTATCCAAATGTGCGCAGATGAAATACAACATCTATTTGTTTATAGTACAACATCGTGCACTAAACCATCGGAAATATGTTAAAAAGTTGAGATGTTAGAGAAGGTAGAGCAAATTCATTAGAATGCTGTCTCTAGTGGTGAAATAAGATTTTGAAACATCAGGCATGTTTTCAGAACAGCTCCGATTTTGCAGTGATTTCACACAAATGTTCCAAATTTAAAAAATGAAACACTATAGACAAAGCCTGACTAGTGTTTCTAGTGGTGTAGAATGACAGATCCAGGCAATTTAGGACAACAATCAAGATAATGATTTTTATATATACAAAGGTTTGAGGGGATGTGATTAATGCACAGATCAAATCAGAATGGAATACAAAAGTGGTTGAATGCAAGGACATAAGTACGAATAGAGGAACAAGGGTTTGTACGTGACATCATCACTGAATCATAGAATAGTTTGCAGCACAGTCAGTGACCATTCTGGTTGTTTCATCTTTGCCACTGTCTGCAAAATCAGTGGTTAGTCTTCACTCCCCTTGTGTTTTCCCAGTAGACCAGCAAAATTCTTTCAAATAATCTTTCAAAAAACTTTTGAAAGCAGGATTGAATATATCTCTACTATGCATTCGAGCAGTACATTCCAGATTCTAACCACTTGTGCAATTAAAAAAAAAGGTTTCCTTCTGTCATCATGGCTTCTTTTGCCAACGTTAAATTGATACCCTCTGGTTCTTAGGTCTTCCAATATGGAAACAGTTTCATTTGCGATGCTGCTTGTGTGAAAGATAGTGTGATTTGGTCAAATGGCATGTTTGCATGTTGTCGTTTCCAAGTAATTGTCAAACTCCAAATGAAAATTAAGTTATTTTGTAACTAATAATCAAGATGCAAATGAAGTAAAGGTAAAATGCTCAGCTTTAATTAAAATGAAGAAAGCGTATTTATGCTTAGTGCGAAAATACACAAACATGATGAGCATATATAGTTTTAAGCTAGAAACCTTAAAGCTGTATCAAATTCTTTTCCGAACATGACACTGAAGAAAAATCTAAGTACATTTTTAACAATCATGACCTTCTTGTAAACAATCTGGGGCGGCACAGTGGTTAGCACTGCTGCCTCATAGCACCAGGGGCCCGAGTTCGATTCCACCCTCGGGTAACTGTCTGTGTGGAGTTTGCACATTCTCCCCGTGTCTGCGTGGGTTTCCTCCAGGTGCTCCGGTTTCCTCCCACAGTCTAAAGATGTGGGGGCTCGGTGGATTGGCCATGCTAAATTGCCCATCGTGTTGGGGGGGGGGGGGTGCAGATTAGGTGAGTTATAGGAGGATGGGTCTGGTTGGGATGCTCTGTGGGTCGGTGTGGCTTTGTTGGGCCAAAGGACCTGTTTCCACACTGTAGGTTCTTTGAATTCTATGAATACTAGCAATGAAATGCTGTTTATGCTGTAAAATTGTGTGTTTTCTTAAATGAGAACTAAATCATCAGGAAACAGTTTGTGTCAATATCATTCACACAATCCAACTTCTCCATGATTGCCCAAAAAACAAATACATATTGCATATATCCGCCACAAATACATGGACATTCATAAAGTAGCAAACTCAAAGCAAGGCTTTGGGATCCTGTTGTCCCAGTTTACAAAGTGGATTTATACAAGGAGTTCTACATGAAAATCTCATTTGTGCTTAGGTTTTCCTTCAGAATTTGCTGGGTTCACAGAATCTCCAAACTGTTATGGTGCAGGTGGTGGCCATTCAGCCCATTGTAACCGCAGTGGTACTAAACTAAAATGTTCAGACAGCCAATCTCCTGATTTTTTCTCCATAATCCTGCACGTTATTTAAATTGAAACAATCCCATCCAATGTGCTCTTGAATGCCTCAATTGAATTTACATCCACCACATTTCCAAGCAAGTGGCAAAAAGGTTAGTGAGGAAGGCACTTGTGTCTCAAATTAATTGTTAGTTAAGGATCATCATTCACTACATTTCAATGATGTTCACAAGTGGAATTGTCTTCCTCGGAGATGTCTAAAGTGAAAAAGTGTGTAAAGGTGTCCAACCAAACAAAAGACATTCTGCATGTTATTTCTTGATTCCCATGGACTTCTTTAGAGTAAATGAGCAATTTGATGTAGACAGTTGACCTTAAATGATCACCCTAAGACAAACTCAGAATTACAGAATACAATTACTGTAAAATTAATCAATAGTATGATATTTACATCTAATTCTGCTTCAAACTTTAAGTTTCTCCTTTTTAATCGATCATATCACAGAAAAATCAAACTAATAAAGCTAACAAATTCTGGCTTACTCCCTTCTGAAAAGGGAAAAATCATATTTGTCAGCTTTGGATGTCATCAACATAAATGCAAAAAGAGTCTAGCAAATAATCCAGGACAGTTTGACAAGAATTTTGAACAAAATTATATGTAAGGGAAGGTTTTTATCCAATTGAATATAAAATAGATAATTGTGGAAACTTAAATGTTGTTTTGTGCACGATCATGAATTTGCAATACTTTTAGGATGTATTAGTTTTCTTGTTAACACACTGACCTTATTCCACCTGCTTAAACTGCTTGAATTATATGATACTATTCAAATACAGTACGCACCATAAAATTGTAATTTGCCACTTTAGATTAATTTATGCATAAATCAATGTGGATCAAAGACCAATTGGAAAGCAGATTACAATGAATAATGATATTACACCTCATTTAACTTGATCGCAGTAAAGTAACCGTTCAGGAAGATAGAAAACAGCTCTAACAATAAAGACACATTTCATGCTTGAGCACAAATGTCACTGTAACAGGTATTGCATTAAAATCCATCTTAAATGTCACTTCATCCAATTCCTTGGCGCAGAGTAGCAAATACTATTTATTTGAAAACTTGAGGATATGCAATGACAGAGTGCAACAACCAGCAACTTCCAATGCAATGCTTGTCATGAAATTAAATTTCTAAAATATTTTTACTGGAATTCCCTCCAGAAAAAGGTAATTACATATCACAGATAACCAAGCAGTATTAGGACATTACTTTATTTAGCTGATACTTTAAGTTACAGAAGTTTACATTTGCATTAAATCAGGAAACCAAAGGAAAATGGAAATTCAGATTGTTTGTGTCCAACCAATTTCATTACATAAAAGACATATTGGTTAAGAATAATAAATGGATTTAAAATTAATAGATAGAAATCCACAACTGAGAAGATAAAATATTAAAACACACCTTCTCTGCTGTCGATAGCCTGGCATATCCAGGAGGGATTTCCGGGGAAAAGACCTAAAGAGCTTCTGAACCTGTTGCTTCCAGGACAACAATCTCTTTTTCTGTGTCTCTGTAAAAGCCTAAGATAAAAGCAAACAATTTTAATTAAAGTTATAAAATGTCAGTACATGCTGTGAAAACATTAATTTTAAATTCATAAATTAAATCAACATAACATTATTCACCATTCAGGCAAAAATAGTGCATTATCAGAATTGTAAAATTACACTTTGCATTGTGGTAAAAAATTCTTTTCCTTTTTAATTCATGGAGTAAATAAAACATCAGGCTAAAAGATTCAGATTATTACATGCTTTGATTCCCACAACAAATAGCAAATTAAGTACAGACACTAGGTAACAGAGTCACCACAGTCCCAGAGGACCATAGGACTGCTCTCTCATTGGAGAGAGATGATTGGTGGGGAGTTTAAGTTGAGGGTTTACACCTCAGATGAGCAGTTGATTTGAGAAGGAAGGACCTTTATGATGATCTCAGCCAGTGTGTGTATGGAACCTGTGCGGTTAGCGTGACTCGGCATCGCAAACCAGCCAGCCGAGCTAACTGACACCCCAATTACAAACAAGCACATCACAATAAAAGTACATTTTTGTAAAAATGACCTACAAAGAAAGATATCCTATACTTAAAAAAAACAATTTTACAAAAATAATGCCTGGAACAGCCCAGGTCATTATGTAATATTTATGCATAATGAAAGTTTTTTTAATAACTTTTGCATATATACTAATTAAGTGAATATAGAATTGCATAAAGGTACATTATGAATTATCTAAAGGTAAAATACATCTTTACCTGAAGAGAATTGTTTCTTTAGTTCAACACTTGTTTGCTAGATGTACACAGCAGAGCCCCATAAATAGCAATAATAGGAATGACCAACGAAATTTGTTGGCAACATTGGTTGAGGGAGCAATATTGCCAGGACACTGCTCTTCAAAAAGAATGTTTCATTAGATATTTTACATTCATCTAAAAGGGCTGGAAGTATATGGTTCTTGCTCAGTTGAACATCTCCAAAAGGCTACAAAGACTCCCAACAACCCCATATGCACTAGTGGGTGCTGCCACTTTGCTATGTGCACTATACAGGATTCATTGGCCACTACAATTTGTATAGGGTATCATGTATGTTACTATAGGGTAATCTTTCATTGTTTGCATCTCAGTTGTATAAAAACATTTTAATAAAACTTGACGAACAGTTCAGTAAGATGAAAGTGTCATTTTTCTAAAAAAATTCTAGCATCAGAAATGGGAAGATTTATAATAGAGGAACAAAGAAATGGCTGATGAACTAAATTCTAACTTATTCTGTCTTCAAAGGATGACACCCAGGGTTTAGCGAGATGGAGGAACTCAAACAAATCTGTATTAGTAAAGTGTTGGAGAAATTGATAGGATTGAATGCTGATAAATCCCCAGGGCTTGATAATCTACATCCCAGAATACTTAAGGAAGTGGCCTTAGGAACAGCAGATGCATTGGTGATCATCTTCCAAAGGTTCTTTAGACACTGGAACAGTTTATACAGAATGGGGAATAGCTTATGTAACTGCACAATTTAAAAGGGGGGTAGAGAGAAAGAACAGGGAATTATAGACCAGTGACTCAGAGGTCCGTAGTGAGAAAGATGCTAGGGTCCACTGTCAAGGATTTTATAGCAGACCACTTAGAAAAACAGTGGATCAAAGGTTGAAGGCAAACAGCATAATTAGGGTACTGAGCTTGTTGATCAGCCATGATCATTCTGAGTGGCAGAGCAGGCTCGAGGGGTTGAATGACCTGCTCTTGCTCCTAATTAACACAAGTGAAAAAAGAGAATTATGTCTGCAGAGAAAACTGTAAAGCAATAATATCAGTATCCAGAGGGAGAGGGCAATTTTGACATTTGGCCAATTTCATCTTCAGGAATAGCACAGGTAACTATGCATATATAATGGATGCTCAAAAATCGAGAGACTTGCTTATTTATTATTTAACGTTGAGACAGGCAGAGCGGCAAAACACAAAACACATCTGCAACAAAATGTAGACAACAGGGGCTGCCAGTGGAAGCATTAATGAAAACTTAATTTCCATATCGAAACTATTGAAATAGCTGGCAAAGATTTAATGCATCTGCAAGTTCTTTGAGCTTCTCCAGGCCTGAAACCAGTGGGCCTTGGTAGTCCCTTCAGTTTTAAGAGATATGAAGTATTTGTACAGGGAAATTAAAATCCCATTAAATAAAGTGCACCTTGCTCAAAGATCACTACAGCCACTACTTGTGATGGCGAGTTAACAGCACCAATGCATTTAAGAGGAAGTATTTGAGGGAAAAAGGAAGAGAAGAGGTTAAGAGGGTGAGATGAAGGAAGGTGGGAACTAAGTCACATGGAGAGCAAAGGGTGATACATCTGCTCAACAAGTCAGGAAAAAATTTAAGGTAGAAGTGATAAGTTTTCTTCCATCTAAGTTAGTAATTTATCAAATCGAAGGTTAAAACACAGAAATTTTAAATATCAACAAAGAACTAAATCCCATGTCAAACAGTTGATGGATCAAATATAAGGATCATGTTCTATTGTACAGTATGCTGATTGAATATTAGTTATATAACATGTTCTCTCTACCTAATCACTTGCCACAAACCAAGCAGTATGATAAACACTACAGTTTGTGATAGGATGTTGCATCATGTTCTAGTCAGACCAATTTGATATGCGGGTGTCCTGTTCTGCCTCAAGACTATAACATATGAATATGCCACCAATTGTGCTGTGTGCACACATGAGAGTGAACATGCATGGTGGTGGTGTGGTGGGTGCAGAGAGAAGAGGAGGGGATACTACAGGAAGTTATTTAAAGACTGAAACCATAAGACTCATTGTAAAATCCGAGATTTGAGCAAAAGCTTGAACACTTCAGGCTTTGTAGCAATAGGAGAGACAGACAGACAGACGTGATCATTTAGGAATGAACATTGAAAATTCTTTAGCATTGAACAGACTAATCCAGTTTAAAAATAAAATCAAACTAGATTGTACGAATAGGACCAGGGACAGGTTCAAATATGTAAAATCTTAAACACCGACAGATGTTTCAGATTAAATTCATCCAGTATGGAGTTGTTCAACTTACACTCACCTCATGACCTATACTTTTGTCAATGAGCTGCAGATAAGAGCTGATGTTCTCTTCATCGGGTCTGGATACTAGCAGCTGTGTACACACTGCAAAGGAGAGTGATCAAGTATTATAAAAATTGTACTACTAGAAATATAAATTACTTCCAAGCTTCTCTGATGCCTAAAGCTGAAATCACAAAAAGGCAAATTTAATTATTCTACTATATTGAATTCAGCAATATTTACACAATTATCAGATCAGAAGATTTTAAAGAGTACACAACATTCACAGATATAAACAGAAGGTCTTGAACTTTGATCATGCCAGAGACTGGGTGCAAGGGGATGGAGGTGGTGATAGCAGAGGAGACTGGCTCTCAGAAACTGAGGCACAGAATGAAATAGAGAATCACACACCCAAACAATTTAAGTATAGAAGAAACCCTCACTTTTTCATGTCCAAATTATTATTAAATTATATTATTACAAGTAAAAGAATATTGAAAGGAGAAGGATTTCACAGGTCACTGCATAAAAGATGAAGAGCAAGCATTTGGAATAGATTGAAATGACAAATAAAAGACTTAAGTATCTTTGCAGGAAGCAAGGTAACGAGTCTTCCTTCTTCATGTGGCTTTGTGAGCAGAAGCTGTTGTCAGAGTTCTAATGTCAAGTTCCCTAACAAGTCCAACGCCCTGTCGGAGAGGACTGGATAATGACAGCCTTTACATGGTCGACCTTGACAAGTGAATTCTTACGTAACTATTATTATTATTAAAAAGGTTACTTTAGCTCTTTTATGGATCACTGGGTTGACAGGGTAAAAAGAAGAAAAAAATCAAGTAAGATCCATCAAGACAAATGAAATAGATCAAAAGAAAATCAGGACAAGATTCTTATCATCAGAAGCACCAAGCACTACACAAAAGCTATTCTATCCACTTTGCCTGCATTAGTGCTACACTACCGATATTTTAAGCTCTGACATTTTTTTTGAAACCACTCCAATCACTTCTCAATCGCACTATAATACATTCTATACTGTAATGCATGAAAGTGTCCTTTAACATGCTACTTTATATCTTTATTCATGTCGTGGCTGTTCATTAAACTTTAATCTACCACCAATGTAAAACTTTTGATACTTGGAGTTTTGCTTCCTTTCCTTTATTCTCAGCTATAGTGAATAGAGCAACAGCTTGTAAGTTTACTGTAAACAATAGTGCTGTATCCTACAAACTCTACATTAAGCTGATGCTATTCTACAATAGGGTGCTCAAAACTGCATCGGTTTTACCTAACCATGGTTTGGTCACACATTTCTGTATTTGTATTCAATACGCCTAACTGATTACCATTTCTCCTACTTGCAATTCTGCTTTAAAGATGCATGCACTTCTACCCCAAAATCTCAGCTCTTCCCTTTTATTTAGATTATACTGTAAATAGTAAAAGTTCAATCATTCTTCTATTCCCATCACCCAATTACGCAATGAGTTGGTCTGTACTGAACACTTATTGCTCATTTGACTAACTCAGATGTGTTCTTATATTCTTCCTCATATTTCATTACACTTCCTAATGAGGTGTTGGCAAATGATGGTATGAGACTTGGTAACCTAGTGGTTATGTTAGTTCTAAACCTTGTAACAACACCCATATCCACAAATATTTAAAAATCCAAATAACCTATGCATGTGCAAACAGAACTGCCCTGAGGCATATTTGTTGCTATGCTTCGACAGTAAAAAAAACAAACATTCATTTACATTCTTGTAGTTAATTTTATAATTTAGCACTTAGTCTTCAGTCTTTGTATTACTATACTATTTATCAATACATTTAGTCATTTAGATGAACTCCAATTAAGATGCTCTGATGTAATGTACACTTCGCAATTTATATTCACTTTCCTTGGGTAATCCATACCTTCTTTAGCATTGATGCTTAAATAGCATACGTTGCATATTAGAATTTCATAGAATCCCTACAGTGTGAAACAGGCCTTCGGCCCAACAAGTCCACACTGACCCTCAGAACATCCCACCCAGACCCATCCCCCTATAACCCATCTAATTTACACATCCCTGAACACAACGGGCAATTTAGCATGGCCAATCCACCTAACCTGCACATCTTTGGACTGTGGGAGGAAACTGGAGCACCCAGAGGAAATCTACGCAGACACAGGGACAATGTGCAAACTCCATACAGCCCGAGGCTGGAATCGAACCCGGGTCTCTGGCGCTGTGAGGCAACAGTGCTAACCACTGAGCCACTGTGCCACCCAAAATTTTATTTAAGTACTTCCTTCATTTAGATTACCAGAAAATCTAAGTGATTTGGATGAAAAGTCTGAAAATCACACCGTTATACTAGCATTACAGTATCATTGCAAATGTAAACATTAGAAAGATAAATCAGACAACCTTTTAAAAGCAGGAAGAGAAAAAGTACTTTGAACATTTTTGAGTTTGGAAAAGAGCAAGTGGATAAAGCTTGAGTAATCTATTAATTTGACCATTTAATAATTAAGGTAAACGGAGCATAGAACATGTAAATGAGTTTTTAACAGGATGAAAACTCCTTTAAAAAGGTCAACGAGGACAATTAATTGAAGAGGTAATATTATTAATTTACTTAATGACAATGAAAGTGGGCCAGATTCTCTAGTTTACCATCAACCAGTAAAAATGCCCTGCTAGAGAGGTGTGGATAGTGAGAGTCTTTACATGGTCCACCCTGAGAAGTGGATTCCAGCAAGTATGTATTGTTAAAAGTACTACATGGATGTAAAGATTTTCCTGGATTTTCCTGGTGCTAAAAAACATGTAAAAGAATATTTTTGTTCAGACTATTTACACTTGGAGGGTATTTGAACTAATGTAAAAGGTAATACATGACGACAAAATCATATGAAGAAAACACATTAAAAATCGCAAGGAAATTTAAGAATGCTACAGTCTAGAACAGGTAATGGTATTGATGAAAGGAAACATTAGGCTAAATATTTAAAGAATCAGAAGATACAACAGAGAATGAAGATTCTAGCTATAAAGAGTCTAGAGAGTTGGATATATGAATCACCATCCTGCAGAAGGCGGAGGTAGGGGAGAGGTTTTAGTATACATATTACAGAATTAAACTTTTGGGGAAAATTCCCCAGACCACCCAAACTCTCCTAAACAATTGTATTGTTCACAACACTACACACATTATTCATTCCACCCACGAGGAACCAAATAAAATCCTAGGTCAAATCAAGCCAAAAAGAGGAAAGTACATCTCTGAATATCTTCAATTTATTTGAAACAACTAGCTGGTGGAATTTCTTGAAAGGATAAAAAAAAGGAAACTTTGTATAAGCTTCTGATATTTGTGACTACAAGTCAGAAAAGGCTTTTGCAAGTCTTTTTCTTCAGTTGGCAAAGCAGGATATCAACTTTCATACCTTCAACACATCAAATCTACCATACCTCAAATGCTGTTAATATTCTAAAGCTAAGGTAAAGTGACCACAGTCTTACCAGACCAGAGGGCTGCCCTCTCATTAGGGAAAGATGACTGGTGGAGGTTGTGGTTAAGGCAGCAAGTCCTTCATGGTAACATCAGCCAGTGCTGGAATTGAACCCACTCTGGTTCACTCTACATTGCAAACCAGCTGACCAGCCAACTGAGCGAGCTGAATGCTCATCCCAAACCAGCAGTCATTATCAACTCAATGAGATGTTTCAATTAGGGGTCTGACTGAGAACCTTTAAGTCTCAAAGTGGAAACTGGAATGGGAGCCATAATTTGACTTGACAGCAACCATATTAAGTGTTCTTCTAAGTCCATGCATTGCCTGACAAGTTGTGGGTTTATAAAGATTTCTGTGCTCATCCAGAAAAGTTACATCGACGCAGCATTTTTTGGGTCCGGAATTAAGAAGATTTGAAAGAAAGCCACAAGAACAAACTTGAATTTACATAGTATCTCTCGTGAACTCAATGCCATAAATTATTTTACAGCTGATTAAATGAGATTGAAGAGTAATCACAAGGAGTCATGAATTGCAATGAGAAAACTGATCAGCTAATCTGTACTAGTCAATTTAACCGAGGGGCTAAATATCAGACAGAACACCGACAGAATTCTGCTGCACTTTATCCTTGCTGACAGACCGGTCAGTTCAGGATCTCATTCAAAAAGCAGCACCTCCAAAATTGCAACACCAGTCTTCGAGTCAGAGAGTTGTACAGTATGGTAACAGACCTTTCGGTCCAACCAGTCCATGCCAACCGGATATCCTAAGTTAATCTAGTCCCATTTGCCAGCATTTGGCCCAGATCCCTCTAATCCCCTCCTATTCATGTATGCATCCAGGTGCCTTTTAAATGCGATTGTACCAGCCTCAACCACTTCCTCTGGCAGCTCATTCCATACACATTCCATGAAAACACTGCCCCTTAGGTCCCTTTTAAATCTTTCCCCTCTAGTTTTGGATTCACCTACCATTGACTATTCACCCTATCCATGCCCCTCATTATTCTATAAACCTTCATAAAGGTCACCCCTCAGCCTCCGACATTCCAGGGAAAATAGCCCCAGCTTCTTCGTATTGGTCAAACCCTCCAACCCTGGTAACATTCTTGTAAATCTTTTCTGAATCCTTTCAAACTTGACATCTTTCCTTTAGCAGAGAGACCAGAAATCAACGTCATGTTCCAAAAGAGGGCTAGCCAACGCCCTGTACATCCGCACTATGACATCCCAACTCCTATACTCAATGCACTGATGAATAAAGGTAAACGTACCAAATGCCTTATTCACTAGCCTGTCTACCTGCGACTGCACTTAAGGAACTATGAACCTGCACTCCAAGGTCTCTTTACTCAGCAACATTCCCCAGGACCCTATCATTAATTGTCTAAGTCCTAACTTGATCTGCCTTACCAAAATGCAACACATGACATTTATCTAAATTAAACTCCATCTGCCACTCCTTGGCCCATCAATCCATTAGATCAAGGTATCTTTACACTCTGGAGATGGAAAAACAGTATTGAAGAATCTAACATGCTGTAGAGATACTGTTCAAAACTTATTAAATATGAAATGTTATCAGATCAGTATTTTATGAAGTAACATTAATACAAAAGTAACATACTACAGATGCTGCAATTATGTAAAAGTGCCTGAAATGGAGCCTGAATGCATGACCTTCCAAGTCAAAGCCAAGAATGCTACCACTGAACCAGACTGAAAGATATCATGCCAATCCGGAGCTAGGTACATCATTACCACTAACAGTAATATTTCCCTGATGTTTTTTGAATCAATTAATTTCCTTTATTCTGTATTAGTTTTTCATGTTCACTCAGTGAAGTCACATTAGCTTGAGGCTAATTTAGAGACCTATAAGGCAAATTTAAACCTGCCAGGAACTGGCTAAGAGTGGCCAGTGTGATGATGCTGTGGCTTTAAGTGTATTTTGTACTTTTTTTGTTTTGAAGAGCGGTTTTAAGGCAGAGGCACTGAGCTGTCTAGTGAAGACCCATAAAATGGGCAGCTTGGAAGGCCTTGGGGTTTGTTTTAAAGTTGCAACAATAGAAGCAGCCTGGCTGGGTATGGCCAGCTCTCAGCCCAGAATTTCTATTTTTTTTTTTTTTTTTTAAAAAAAAGTTTTTAGGTTTAGCTTTAAGCAGTTGGAGTTCTGAAATAGTAGAAGCTATCTTTTCCTTTTCTTGATAACAGCTAGAAGCTGGGGTTTCTTTCTGTTGCTGGGTTACCTGAGAGACCAATCTATTATTCTGAATTTGCCTTTTTGACAAGTGGTGCATTGATGGAATGTTACTATATCAGAATAGTTAATAAGTAGTCGTTATTCTATCATTCTGTTAAGTTTTCTAATTGAGTTGTTATTCTAAGATTTTCATTCTTTTGTTGTATTTTAACTATAGTTTTTAAATAAACTGTGTTTTGCTTAACATCCAGTAGTTTGGCCAATCAAATTGCACCTAGAACACAGCACATTACATCTGCCTTTAAAAATAAGCAAAAAATTAAGGTCTAGGCTACCTTCTTAAAGTATTTTTAGGGATCTGACCTGATCCATAACACCAGTTATTTGGAAGAAGATTTGTACAGTTAGCAGAGAGCAATCTTTAACGCTGATGGTCTAGGATAAATGTGAAACTTTTGAGGCAGTATTGCTACTGGAATTTGCTAACAAAATTCTCAAAAAGTGTTAGCTCAAATGGCACCAAAATCCTAACGTGTTTTTATTTAGGATTCCAGTCAACCATTGTTGTTCCTTTATGACGCAAGTAAAAAATTTTAATGATAAATTAAGACATCTTCAAAAACAAGGCCTACCTTTGCCCATGACTCTTGTAAACTGTCCAGGCAGATCTCCTTCTGGAACAGGAGCACCTCCGGACTCACCCTCACACCCTGTAACATTTTGTTGCTGAATGCCCCCAGCAGCAGAATCCTTCACATCAGGTAGTCCACTTCCCAAGCTGCTCTCTGAACTCATTAAGGAGGATTGAGAGTCCAAGTCTTGGTTTTGTTCACCAGAGTTTTGAGTATGAGAGAAATTGTAAGCTTTGATAGGGGTAAGAATCATTTGGTGCAGCTCCTGGAGTGCATTACGCAGATTACTACCTTCAAGGACATCCTGTACAATAGAATGAAAAATATCAATACAGCATTCCAAGGTTGACAACTTATTGAAATATATAACACATTTGCATTATTGGAGAATATGCATGAAAAATATTCTTAAATGTGCATTTTATTTCACAAATACCTGTATAAAATTAAAAGTTTACATAAAGTGGGGCACGTCCAGCAGCAACAGAGCCCCTCACAATGTCCCTCACAATTATGGTCACTGATCACTCTAGCACACTGAGCAGAATAATTACTGGTGGCCAAGGATCAATGACCACCTCACTATAATGGTCAACACGCCTCTTTGTCCTCACCATATTGGTCATCTGCCACTGTGCTTCACTGATCCTCAGTGTAAGGTCACAGGCTCATCACTGATTCATTGACCCCTCACTGTAGCTAATTCATCATGAAATCTCCTTGTTGGGTCTGCAGTGACTCTCCAAAAAGCATCCCAGTCAGACCCATCCTATCCCTGTAATTTTGCCTTTACCGCGGCTAATCCACCTAGATTGCCCATCCCTGAACATTTCGGGGCAATTTAGCATGCAAATCCATGCTTGCCGTTTTTGGTCAGTGCATCGAGTATAGGAGTTGGGAGGTCATTGTGCGGCTGTATAGGACATTGGAACACTGCATGTAATTCTGGACTCCCTGCTATAGGAAAGGATGTTGCAAAACTTGAAAGGGTTCAGAAAAGGCTTACAAGGATGTAGCCAGGTTTGGGGGATTTCAGCTATAAAAGGAGAGGCTGAATAGGCTGGGACGTGACCTTATAGAGGTTTATCAAATCATGAGGAGCATGGATAGGGTGAATAGGCAAGGACTTTTCCCCGGGGTGGAGGAGTCCAATACTCGAGGGATATAAGCTTAAGGTGAGAGGGGAAAGATGTAAAAGGGTTCTAATGGGCAACTTTTCACGCAGAGGGTGATGAATGTATGGTGTGAGCTGCCAAAGAAACTGGTGGAGGCTAGTACAATTACAACATCTAAAAGGCACCTGAATGGATATATGAATAGGAAGGGTTTAGTGGAATATGGGTCAAATGCTGGCAAACGTGACCGAATTAATTTAGGATATCTGGTCAGCATGGACAAGTTGGACCGAATGGTCTGTTTCTGTGCTGTCTATCTCTATGACACCATTTGTTTTGACTTCATTATTCAATATATACTAAAGATATATCTAACAGTAAATAAGTAAAAGTATTTTCCAGTCCAGAGGGAAAAATTGAATGGGTCACTTGTCACATTGTAAGTTGAAGTGATTGTAAGACGGTTACCTTTTTCAATTACCTTCTTTATAATAATGAAGTAGTATTATCTGACCAGCTAAGTTTAAGTGTATTTGCTATATTTTGCAAGTTATCACCTATTATGATCAAACATAATTCCATCCTGCAATTGCTGGTTGAAACATGTTGTAGGGGTGGGGCACTAGATAGGACAACTGAGCTGCTAGTTTTTGGTTTCAGTATTTTAAAACTTGTATTTGCAAGTAAAGGCAGTTTCCATGAGCAGGCAAATTCAGAAACCTGCACTCGTATGTGTAATCTAAATGTGACAGATGACAGCATACCAGAGGCTGAGAAGTGTTGACGTCCAAATTCTGAAGACCCTCTTCAAAAAAAAAAACATGCATGATTGAGTGTGAACGAAACTCAACTTGGAGCTTCAGCAACAGGCAAGAACCCAAGACAAGGGAGTCTACCTATTCAACAACTCACCTACTTGCATAAACATCGAGCCTTGCATACTGTGACCGCAGCGTATACACTCTCTGATAACCATCACAATAACTTACCAAATCTCTTATTGCAACATCCCCTATTAATTCCTGTGATTTCTATCTAGAAAGACAAAAGCAGCACATGTACTAAAACACCATGAGATGAGTAATGATGTAGAATTAAAACAGGACAACACAACGAGTTCAATTAGGAACAACCAAAACAAAACAAATTGCTGGAGAAACTCTCAACAGATCTGGCAGCATCTGTGGAGAAAAAACAGTCAATCTTTTCAACAGAAACAACGTCCGTTCTGAGAAAGGGTCACCGGATCCGAAACGTTAGCTCTGCCAGACCTGCTGAGCTGTTCCAGCAACTTTGTTTTCGTTCCTGATTTATAGCATCCGCAGTTCTTTCAGTTTTTATTTAGTCAATCCTTCCTGTCTAGTGAACCCTCTCCAGACTACTGAAGTTCTGAAGAACAACTTGAAAAGTTGAAGGTGTTTTCTCTCTACAGATGCCAGACCTGCTCTGTTTTTCCAGCAATTTCTGATTTTGTTTGTTTCAGATCTGCAGAAAGACAACTCACGCATCCCTACAACCCCACTTGTTTCTCAATGTCCTGTAAATTTGCTCTTTCCAGTTAATTTTTTAAATGCTCTTTTGAAGGTTTTGATTGAATCTGTCTTTACCACACTCTCAAGCAGTGGATTATAATTCTTAACCAGTCACTGCATGGAATTGTCTTTCCTCATACCACCTTTGGATCTTTGAAGTCCTGTGGTTCTTGACCTTTGAGCCAATAGGAAATCTCTCCCATTTACCCAGTCTAGATTGTCTATTTTGATCCCCCTTTTTTCAAACCTTCTTTTGTCCAAAGGAAATAGCTCAGGTCCAGTATCTCCAATCTTTTGATATAATTGGAGTTCTTTATCCCGAGAACCATTTTCTGACTATTTCTTGCATCCTATACAGTGCCTTCACATTCTTGCTAAAATATCATACAAGGATCTGTACTCAGCAGAGACCAAATTAGTATTTTCTTCAGGTTTATTATAACTTCTATTGATTTTATAAGAATAAAAATCTGGGGAACAAAACAGGTTTCCACCACCAGGGTTAAACCAATTCACTAGTAATTGCTGTGGTTGTCTTTACATCCTTTATTGGACAAGGATGCAACATTTACAATTCTCCAGTTATCTGACACTACCTCCACACAAGGATGGACTCCCTCTCAGATTCAGACACATCCCATCTGATCCTGGTGACTTAACCAATTTAAGTACAGCTAGCCTTTCTAATAATACTTTATTATCAAATGATATCCATGATCTCAAATAGTATTGAAATCCTGATCCGGACCTTGCCATGTGCTTGGACAAGCTGTCCCAGCACAGTTACAACACTCGCATCTACCCGACAATGTGGAAAATTATCTGGGTCTGTCTTGACCAGAATAAACAGGACACATGCAACCCTGCCAATAACCACCCATCAGTTTACTGTCAAACAACAAAGTCACGGAAAGAGTCATTAATAGCGCTATCAAGAGCACTCGCTTAGCAATAGCTTGCTCACTGCTGCTCAGTTTGGGTTCTGCTAGGGTCACTCGTTGCAACCTTGATTCATAATGCACAAGAGTCAAACTCCACACGGGAGGGGAGAATGGTAGCCATTGACATCAAGGCCACATTAAACAGTGTGGCATCAAGAAACCCTATCTAAATGGGAATGAATCAGGGGCAAACTCTTCGCTGGCTAGAGTCATACCTAGCGCACAGGAAGATGGATGTGGTTGTTAGAGGTCAATCACCTCAGTTCCAATATGTCCCTACAGGAGTTCCTCAGGGTATGTCCTAGGCTTGACCATCTTCAGCCGTTTCATCAATGACCTTCCTTCTATGAGAAGGTCAGCAGTGGGGATGTTGGTAATGATTATACATTGTTAAGCACCATTGGCGACTGCTCAGATATTGAAGCAGTTCTTGTCCAAATGCAGCAAGGTTTGGACTAGGACTGATAAGTGGAAAATGATATTTGTACTTCACATGTGCCAGGCAATGACCGTCTACAGTAAGAGACAGAGACAATCTAACAATACCCCTCGATATTCAATAGCATTATCATAACTGAATTTCCCACTATCAACATCCTAGGGATTACCATTATCCAGATGTTAAACTGGACCGGCCATGTAAATATAGCAGCTACAACAGCAGGTTGCGGGCTCAGAAACCTGTATCAAGTAACTCACCTCTGTACTCCCCAAACCTGCCCACCATCTAGAAGTGATGTGAGGATTGTGATGGAGTAGAACCCAATTACTTCGATAAGTACAGCTCCAACAACACTCAAGAAACTTGACACTTTCCAAGACAAAGCCTGCTTGTCTGACAGCACACGGTCATATATTTAGTACCTCCACCTCCAATGCACAGTGGCAGCAGGGTGTACAACCTACAAAATGCACGGCAGAAATTCACCAAGATCCTTAGACAGCACTTTCCCAACAAATGACCCACTATCGTCTAGACGTACAAGGGGAGCAGATACATGGGGGCACCTTCACCTAAAGACCCCTCCAAGCTACTCACCATCCTGACTTTGAAATATTTGATTTAAATTTATTATTGTCACATGTACAGGTACAGTGAAAAGTTTGTTTTGCGTGCAGTACGGACAGATCATACCATACAAAACATCATCCGGTGATTGAACAGAGCGAGGAATACACAGTTGCAGAGAAGGCGCACAGAAAGTAAGATCAACATTAACATTAGATTTGAAATTTGAGAGGTCCATTCAGAAGTCTAATAACAGTGGGGAAGAAGCTGTTCTTGAAGCTATTGGTACATGTGTCTAAACTTTGGTATCTTCTGCCTGATGGAAGAGGTTTGAAGAGATTAGAACCAGGGTGGGAGGGGCTTTGACGATGTTGGCTGTATTTCCGAGGCAGCGAGAAGTGTAAATTGAGTCAATGGATGGAAGGCTGACTTGCGTGATGGACTCGACCGTGTTTACAACTTTCTGTAGATATTTGATGGTCCTGGGCAGAGCAGTTGCCATACCAAGCTGTGATGCATCCAGATAGAATGCTTTTTATGCTGCATTTGTAAGTGCTAGTGAGATTTGTTATGGATATTCTGAATTTCATTAGCCTTCTGAGGAAGAGAAGGTGTTGTTGTGCCTTCTTGACCGTCACATCAAGATGGATGGTCCAGGATAGATTGTTGCTGGTCAAGTTTCTAGGAATGACAAGCTCAACCACCTCCACCTCAGCTCCATTGATGTAGGTAGGGGCGTGCGCTTATCCTTGTCTTCTTGAAGTCGATGATCAGCTCTCTAGTTTTGCTGACATTGAGGGAGAGATTGTTATCTTTTCACCAAGCATTCCCTGTCTCCTCCATATTCTCTCTCATCATTGTTTGATACCTCGCCTACAACACTGCCAGTGTTGAAGATTGTCATGGAGGAGGTGCTGTTGCATATCTTCACTGATTGCAGTCTGTAGGTCAGGAAGTCGAGGATCCAGTTGCAGAGGGTGGAGCAGAGACCCAGGTCTCAGAGTTTGGAGATTAATTTGGTTGGGATTATAGTGTTGAAGGCGAGATGGAGTCAATAAGTAGAAGCCTAATGTAGGTAATCCTTATTATCCAGACGTTCCTGGGATGAGTGTAGAGCTAGGGAGATGATGTCCATGGACCTGTTTGCATCGGTAGGCAAATTTTAAGAGATTTGCAAATTGCAAATATACAGCTGTTCCTTCAGTGTCATGGGATCAAAATCTCAGATGTCCCTTCATAACAGCATTGTGGATACGCCTAATCCAAATAATTGTAACAGTTCAAGATGGCTGTTCATTACCATCTCAAGGGCAACTAGGCATGGTAATTAAATATGGCCAAGCCAGCAAAGCTCACATCCCACAAATGAACTAAAATGGGGACTACTGGGATCGATTTAGGAGAAACTCTCGTAATACTGGATCACCCAAGTATACAAATCAAATTGTTAAAAAGTAATAGACACAAAATGATGGCAAAGTGACCCTAAATCCTGTGGCTGTCTGGAGAAGAACTCTGAAATGTCACACTTGCAGGTGTCAAAGAAACAAACTTTAACCCAAGACACTGGCAATTTTTATTTTCAAAATTCTGTGTAATAACTTGAGGAACTCTGCCTGGGATCTGGTGGTAACAATATGTATTACCGACTGGCTTTATGAAAAAATTTTTAAAAAGTTCAGCCTTTAGACTTTTATAACTTGAATAAAAACTGATCAACATCTATTAATAACATTTACAGAAATTACCACTCTTAAACTAGTTTTGAAATTTGTCAGAACAATGTAACAGTTGAAAATATATTCAATGGAAAACATTCATCTTGATAGCCTGGTCACATTATCACTGAACTATTAATCCAGAGACCCAGATAAAGTCCTAGGAACCCAGGTTAAAATCGTACCATGACAAATTGTTCCACGTGACACAAAATGGTAAACTAGGTTGAAATATTGCATCTTAGTGGGACCGACTTTTTAATGCTTACAAATAAATATCAAATGGTCAATGTCATTATTGGTCAATACTATAATTGTGGAGCTAAATCAAAAGGCATAAATCTTTGACAAGTCTGGAATTAAGAGTCTGATGACAACCATGAAGCTGTTGATGATTGTTGGAAAAAACATCTGGGCTCACAAATATCCTTTAGGGGAGAAAACTGCTTTCCTACTGGGTCTGGCCTACATGTTACTTCAAACCCACAGCAATTTGGTTGACTCTTATCTGCCCTCTGGGGCAATTAGGGATGGGCAATAAATGCAGGTCTTGCCAAAGATACCCAAATCCCATAATGGATAAAGAGAAGATTGAAGAAAACTAAATTATTTGATCAAAGTATTCTTACACAACCTTGAAATCAATAATAAAATACAATTTGGGATGGGTAAAATAGAACGGAAGTGAAAATTTGTCCCATTAGATGAAAGTGTTTTTGGCCATATACACATACGCTATTGCAAAGACTAAACGTGGAAGGCTTCAGCACAGAGGCGATCTCTAAATTACACAGAGAACAACTGTCATATATAACTGCGCATTTCTTACCTTTTCCAATGATCTGAGCACATTCTGTCTCTCCTTCAGCTTTTGTATACTTAGGACAATTTTGTGTCTTGCACCTTTGGTAACATTCTGCAGACAGGACAACAAAAACAGGCCTCATATCTATTTCATAATGGCAATTTTAAAACATTTGATCATATAAATGACGTTCTCCCTGTCTAATAAAATATTACTTTTGTATTTAAGCTTAGATGTTGCATTAAAATTGTTTCGTGGGATACAAATAGTGGACTAGGTTGTAATGTTGTTTCTTAGTGGGACTAATCCTAATAGTTTCAAATATATAAAAAAGTCATCAGTCATTATTGGTCAATGTTGTAACTTTGAAGCTAAATCAAAAAGGCGTAAATCTTTGACAAGATGGTCTGTATTTAAATGACCCACCATCAATACAATGGAAAGGAGAAAGCAGGTGACAGACAATAAGAAAAATAAAGATTTCCTCAAATAACTATTGCAAGGAGGATAATGACCAACTATACCCAGAAAGTAAATGCAAAAGAGCCAATCTTGACTTATTTATTTGGATGTCTGTAGCTGCACAATTGGAGAATGGTACAGGAAATGCTGAGTAAATCTTAAAAAGATTTATTATACAGACTTCTAGAGATACTTTCTGAACTCCAACCCTTTGCTTTCTGAAATGGCCATATGCTTCACCATTAAAACATATTGACTTTCTTGGAGTTGCTGCCTTTATGCAGGATATTTGAAAATAAATCCCATTTACTTTAGTCTACCCTGTTCAACTGCAAGTAATATTAACAGCCAATTAATATTTATAGCATTACTAGTTAATTGTGATAAGAGTGGAATATCATTCCTTCACTGTTTCGATGCAGATTTTGAAAACAATCGATATAACATTTTAAAGTGTTCTGCAATTAAAATGAAGAAAGTCTTCTAATTTCACAAGCCTGGACCTCTATTAGTCTACATGACTGCAAAATAATCTTGGCCACAATAGACAAATAAAGCGAGAAAAAGACAAAATAGAAAAATCCACAACTATTGAAGACGTAGGTAGGAAGTAGAAAGATCACTGCATAGATAAATATAATACATTATTGCTGCAACGTGTACAAATTTAGTAACAGTCACTGATTGCAATTTAAATTTAAAAACAGTGCCAAGTTATTAAATGTCACACTGAATCAGAGATTGCCATTGTGAACATAAACATGTGAATTTTGCTAATCCAAAATCACAAATTTATAGAATTTCTCGCTTTCTTTGGTTTCAAAGTTGGTGGCTATACCTTCAGTTGCTTAGGGCATACGTTTTGAAATTTGTTCTACAAACATAAGAACATAAACATAAGAACATAAGAACTAGGAGCAGAAGTAGGCCATCTGGCCCTTCAAGCCTGCCCCGCCATTTAATAAGATTATGGCTAATCTTTTTGAGACTCAGTTCCACTTACCCGCCCACTCTCCATAACCCCTAATTGCTTTACTGTTCAAAAATTTATCTAGCCTTGCCTTAAAAACATTCAGCGAGGTAGCTTCAACCGCTTCACTGGGCAGGGAATTCCACAGATTCACAACCCTTTGGGTGAAGAAGTTCCTCCTGACCTCAGTCCTACATCTGCTTCCCTTTATTTTGAGGCGATGCCCTCCAGTCCTAGTTTCACCTGCTAGCGGAAACAACCTCCCTGCCTCCACCTTATCTATTCCCTTCATAATCTTACATGTTTCTATAAGATCTCCCCTCATTCTTCTGAATTCCAATGAGTATAATTCCAGTCTACTCAGTCTCTCCTCATAATCCAACCCTCTCAACTCTGGAATCAACCGAGTGAATCTCCTCTGCACCCCCTCCAGCGCTAGTATATCTCTTCTCAAGTAAGGAGACCAAAACTGCACACAGTACTCCAGGTGTGGCCACACCAGGACCCTATACAGCTGCAGCATGGCCTCCCTGTTTTTAAACTCCATCCCTCTAGCAATGGCAGACAAAATTCCATTTGCCTTTTTAATTACCGGCTGCACCTGCAATCCTACTTTTAGTGATCCATGCACAAGGACACCCAAGCCCCTCTGCACAGCAGCGTGCTGCAATTTTTTACCATTTAAAACCGAGTCCATTTTGCTGTTATTCCTACCAAAATGGATGACCTCACACTTATCAACATTGTACTCCAACTGCCAGACCTTTGCCCACTCACTTAGACTATCTATATCCCTCTGCAGACTTTCAGTGTCTTCTGCACACTTTGCTCTACCACTCACCTTAGTGTCATCTGCAAATTTTGACACACCACACTTAGTCCCCAACTCCAAATCATCTATGTAAATTGTAAACAATTGCGGTCCCAACACTGATCCCTGAAGCACACCACTGGACACTGACCGCCAACCAGAAAAACACCCATTGACCCCTACTCTTTGCTTTCTACTGGTCAAGCGATCCTCTATCCATGCCAATACATTACCTGTAATACCGTGCAACTTTATCTTATGTAGCAGCCTTTGGTGTGGCACCTTGTCAAATGCGTTCTGGAAATCCAGATACACCACATCCACAGGTTCCCCATTGTCCACCATGCAAGTAATGTCCTCAAAGAATTCCACCAAATTAGTTAAACATGACCTACCCTTCATGAACCCATGGTGGGTGTTCCCAATGGGACAATTTATATCCAGATATCTTGCTATTTCTTCCTTAATGATAGATTCAAGCATTTTCCCCACTACCGAAGTTAAGCTAACTGGCCTATAGTTACCTGCTTTTTGTCTACTTCCTTTTTTCAAACAGTGGTGTCATATTGGCTGTTTTCCAATCTACGGGAACCACCCCAGAGTCCAGTGAATTTTGCTAAATAATTACTAGTGCATTTGCTATTTCCCCCATCACCTCTTTTAGTACCCTGGGATGCATTTCATCAGGGCCAGGAGACTTGTCTACCTTTAGCCCCACTATCTTGCCCAGCACTGCCTCCTTAGTGATAATGATAGTTGCTAAGTCCTCACCTGTTATAACCTTCTGCCATTAGTTTTCGGCATGTTATTTGTCTCTTCCACTGTGAAGACCGACACGAAATAACCGTTTAATATCTCGGCTATTTCCTCATTCCCAGTTATTAAATTGGCCTTCTCATCCTCTAAAGGACCAATGTTTACCTTTGCCACTCTTTTACGATTTACATATTTATAGAAACTTTTGCTGCCTGTTTTTATATTCTGAGCTAGTTTACTCTCATAATCTATCTTACTTTTCTTTATAACTTTTTCTGTGGCTTTCTGTTGGCCTTTAAAGATTTCCCAGTCTATTAGTTTCCCACTACTCTTTGCTTTTTTGTATGTGTTTTTTTTTCAATCTGATACTTTTCTTTATTTCCTTAGACATCCATGGCTGGCTGTCTCTTTTCCTACAGTTCTTCCTTATCACTGGAGTATACTTCTGCTGAGCACTGTGAAAAATCGTTTTGAAAGTCCTCCACTGTTCCTCAATTGACCCACCATAAAGTTTTTGCTCCTATTCTACCTGAGCTAACTCCTCCCTCATTCCTTCATAGTCTCCTTTGTTTAAGCACAGAACATACGTACTGGATTTAACCTTCTCACACTCCATCCGTATTTTAAATTCGACCATACTGTGATCGCTCCTTCCGAGAGGATCCCTAACTGTGAGATCATTAATTATTCCTGTCTCATTACACAGGACTAGATCTAGGATAGCTTGCTGCCTCGTAGGTTCCATTACATATTGTTCAAGGAAATTATCGCGGATGCATTCTATGAACCCCTCCTCAAGGCTGCCATGACCGACCTGGTTTGACCAATCGATAATGTAGATTAAAATCCCCCATGATAATTGCTGTACCATTTTTACATGCATTAGCTATTTCTATGTTTATTGCCCACCCCACCACAATGTCATTATTTGGTGGCCTATAGACCACATCTATCAGTGACTTCTTCTCCCTGCTATTCCTAATTTCCACCCAAATGGATTCAACGTTTTGTTCAGTAGAACCTATATCATCTCTCACTACCGCCCTGATATCATCCTTAAAAATCGGAGCAACACCACCTCCTTTACCTTCCTGTCCAAACATCCTGGTGTCTAAATTTAACCGGCCACCCTTCTTTGCAGATCTCTTGAATACATTAGAGAGCGAGAGTTCAAAGGTTTTTGTTAAACTATCTCCACATAGCATATTGAACTTAACACCTGTTACTTCCTTTCCTTTAAAAGGTTTGTATTAAAACCTGTGTACACCTTTATCAGTCACATAGTTAAACATTCATTGACCTAGGAAGTAAATTCTTTTAAAAGCACTGTGTGGTCAACCAAGCGGCAGACAAAGAGAGAAGCCATTCTACCGTTCCTGAACTGACCATAACAAGTCCTCCAACCTGAGGAGTGACCATGTTGCCGGTGGACAACAGGATGATGTGCTGCCAAAGTTTAGAAGAAAGAGTAGAACAGAAAGTAGTCTCTCAGTTATGATAATTCGGTGATGTTTGAAACCTGCTAATCCATACTGTCATATTTGCTTGCTTCTGCTTAGGTTAACCTCCTTTTGTAATTTAGAAAACATGCAATATTCAACTTTCACAATTACATGTACAGAATGTAATAAGACATTTTGAAAAATATTCAGAATTATAACTTACTGCGTTTCAAAACTGCTGTAAAGAAACCTTTACTAAAATCTTATTTTTCCCTAAAGCAAGAGTATGATGGTTTCCATGTTTTGGGAGCTTGTAATATTTGGAGACCCCCTAACTGGAAATGAAGCTGACCTTCCAATTTCTAATAGGACTAAAACTGAAACCGAGATTGAAAACTTCTGGAAGACTAAAACTATGTATGCGGACACAACACCAGAGTTCAAATGATGATCCTGGTGATGCCATGTCGGCTGGCTATAGATGAGAGAGGCTATATCAAGAAGCCGAGAATAAGCAAGTATACAGCTTCTGCTACATCAAGATGGATTTCATAATCCAGAACATCATAAAGTTGAGGATGTTGTGCGGACAGATGGCATTTTTGGTGAAGACTGTTCCAATGCAATTTAGATTGGCTTTGCACTACTGTCAGCTGAATATCATGCTAAACACTAG